TTCAAATAGGATGAAGATTATTGAAATTTTTTCCAAGTGCAGTGAATATAGAGAATTTTTTGAAGTACCATGTCATCTCTATTTGTAATTATTTTTATAAAAAATAATGTCTCTCACATAAGGATCAGAGGAGCCTTTAGTCTGTCTGCCTTCGCACTAGGAGCCTTATCAGGAGAGATTGGAATCCTATAGTCCACAGATAGGAGGTTTATCTCCCTTCTAACATGTAAGTAGGCCTGGAAACCAGTGAGGATTTCAGATGACTATGGAAAACACTAATCAGAGGTACCCCATCTCTAGTTTTAGAGTCTTGGAGACAAACCAAACCAGCTAATTTTTTTTTTAATTGATTTTTTTTTATTAATTTATTTACTTTTTAAATACATTTGTCTCTGCCTTCCCCCCACCTCTTTCCAGACTAGCTAATTTTTAACAGTCTTTGAACATGCAATAACTCTTATTTTGATGTAGCTCTCTACTGCGCATTTTTGTGCATCAATCTTGGATTTCTCAATATTTATATATTGAAAATACATAAAGACTAGTCTCTGTATAGACACTAAACACTTATGGTGTATTATTTATTAAGGATTTAAATTCAGCTTCTAAAACACTTGACATTTTTCTTCTTTTTCACAAAAATTTAGTCATTGAAGGAAAACCTTGCAAAGTGTCGGACCCTTACTGAAGCAGAGAAGATGTCCTTTGAAACTCAGAAAAAGAACCTTGATACAGAAAATCAGTATTTAAGAATATCTCTGGAGAAGGAAGAAAAAGCCTTGTCTTCACTACAGGAAGAGTTAAGAAAACTAAGAGAACAGATTAGGATATTGGAAGATAAAGGGACAAGTACTGAACTAGTTACGGAAAATCAGAAACTGAAGCAGCATTTGAAAGAAGAAAAGCAGAAAACACACAGCTTCCTTAATCAAAGGGAGACTCTGTTGGCAGAAGCAAAGATGCTAAGGAGGGAACTGGAGAGAGAACGACTAAAAACCATGGCTTTGAGGGTGGAACTTCAGCAGTTAAGCTCTAGGCAGTCAGCTGGCAACCCAGACTCTCCCAATGTATTGACTGACAAAAAGGAAGTAGAAATTTTACGTGAAAGACTCACCGAGCTGGAGCGGAAGTTAAACTTTGAACAGCAGCGTTCTGATTTGTGGGAAAGACTGTATATTGAGGCAAAAGATCAAAATGGAAAACAAGAAACTGATGGAAAAAAGAAAGGGAGCAGAGGGAACCACAGGGCTAAAAATAAGTCAAAGGAAACATTTTTGGGTTCAGTTAAGGAAACATTTGATGCCATGAAGAATTCTACCAAGGAGTTTGTGAGGCATCATAAAGAAAAAATTAAGCAGGCTAAAGAAGCTGTGAAAGAAAATCTGAAAAAATTCTCAGATTCAGTTAAATCCACTTTCAGACATTTCAAAGATACCACCAAGAACATCTTTGATGAAAAGGGCAATAAGAGATATGGTGCTACAAAAGAAGGAGCAGCTAAAAAACCAACAGTTTTTAGTGAATATTTATATCCACAGTATAAGGCACGTACACAAAACCAGAATAGAGGCCCTACCATGCAAAGAGAGGGAAGGAAAGGAAAGCCAATTCACTTTGAAGAATTTGGAAAAAATACAAATTCACAGAAATGCAGTGCTGAACATGGCTGTAGCGAAAATTATAATTCTTTCAGAAAGGCTTGTTCTGGTGTATTTGAATGTGCTCAACAGGAATCCATTAACCTTTTTAATATGAAAGTGTTGAATCCTGTAAGGATAGATGAATTTAGACAGTTAATTGAAAGGTACCTAGTAGAAAAACTGGATAGTTTTCATCATTGGAAAGAACTTGATCAATTCATCAATAAGTTTTTCATACATGGTATCTTTATACATGATCAGAAGCTCTTCACTGACTTTGTTAATGATGTTAAAGATTATCTTAAAGACATCAAGGAATATCAAGTAGATAATGATGAAGTGTTTGAGAAGTTGGATGAATATATATATAGACACTTCTTTGGTCACACTTTTTCCCCTCCATATGGACCCAGGTCGGTTTACATATCACCATGTTATAATAGTTTTTAACATTTATAGATTGGATAGTATTTTATCATTTGATAAGTTGCTTGGAATGTTACTATTTGTAAAGTACTTTTTATAAAAAAAAAAAGTACTATTTGTAAGTGTACTTCATTGCCAGAGAATTTAGAATTAAGTTTAAACATATAATTTCAAGTTAATAGCTATTACAAATTGAAAATTTTATATTATCAGTTTGACTTGAGCAAGTAGTTTAACTTCTATCTTAAAATATCAGTTAGAGGTATATAAGTCCTATTTTAGCTTATTTTTTCCTATTTTAGTCTATATGACAAGGTAATCAGTCACTATAATTAAGATTATTTTCCTTTAATCTTTTATTATTTACTTACTTTTGGGAAGCTAGGCATGAACAATACAAATTAAATTTTGAAATCAGAAGAGCTCAATAACAGGATGCCCCACTTATTTTCATTTGTTGATTCCATTCACTAAATTATGATATTTAATACACATTACAGAATTATTGTTGATAAAGGTAGAAACATGATCAAAGAGGGAAACTTGGCAAGCCACAAGTTTTAATGTGTGTGTTTTGTATATAACTACTAAAATTAACTATACCTATTACTTACCAGCTTTGTATTCTGTAACATGAAACTTGACTAATCCTCAAATGTTAGTTTTATTTTATTTTTTTACATTTGACATAGTTACCTTTTGGAAAAAAGTAATGTGCCTATAAAATAATGAGACTGATACTGGTGAATTTAGTCATTAAATGAATATCTAGTGCTTATAATGAGCAAAGCACTATGAGGCTGCCCTGAGGAAACATGAAAAATTCTTGCTCTGAAGGAGATAATAAGCTTTTGGAGAGTTATGGAAAGTAATCGAGGTGTAGAGCCATTGTATGTAGTGGCCTTAGTCTGGAAATGTGTGGGAAGAAGGCTTCATGAGTGAGGTGGCCTTTGAACTAAACATTTTTAAACTGGCTTTTGATGGAAAAATGAATTTGTTAGGCAAATAGAGTAGAACATTCCCCTCACAGGAAACTTTGATTTGGAGATCTGAAGACATGCCACTTTAGTGAGTGCTGAGGTGTGAATAGAAGACAATATTTAGCTCTTGAAGAGCCTCATTTTATACTTGAGGACATGCTTTACTGTATTTTGGATCACTGGCAGCAGCCTGAAGAATGAGTCATTGGAAAGGGTGAATGAAGCTAAGATGGTCTTTAAAACAGTGTGGTCATGCACTGATGAGGATGAGTGGGAAAGGGGAGACAGATTTGAATAATACACAGTAAGTAAAATTAGTGGTATTTCTTGTGAAAGAGAAGTAGAAAGTGAAAGAGAAGTAGAAAGTAACAATGGTTTCCAGATTTCTGGTTTGGGTCATTAGTTGGATACTGAGATTACTAAGAAATACCAGAAGGATTTAGGTAAGGGGAATTGGAAATGAGAATTGTGCTTCCGAGGTACCTATTGACATCCAAATGGAAAAGATTAGTTAGTTATATGACTTTCTAGTCTGTAGCCGAGGCTGGAGGTATTTATCAGACTCCTAGGGAACTAAAAAATAAGGGACTGTAGGAAAAGGAGGCTGAGAATGACAGGGCCAGAGAGTGGCATCATGAACCACCAAAAAGATGATCTCAAGTAAGAGGAATATAAGTGGGTCAAATGCAAAAAGGACTGGGTTTCTTGGCTTGGGAATTGGGTGGCCATGGATGGCCTTTATGGACTATTTCAAGAGGTAGTGACAGAAGCATGAGTAGAGAGAGAGAGGAAGGCAGTAAATGTAGGCATTGTTTGTGAACTTTAGCTGTGGGAGAGAAAAAGACTGTTTTGTGTGCAAGAGATGTATATACATTTCTGCTGAGGGATGAAGCCAATGGGTAGTGATTGGTTTTTACAGGAAAGGAAGAAAAATAAAAAAAAATCTCATTATTTTATTGTTACATTTCTGGTTTTTTTGTGGGTTTTTGTTTTTCGCTAAAAGTATAGTACTCAATCTGATATGGTTATACTGTGATTATACTTCAGATCAATTTAACATCCTTTTTCAGAGTGTTCAGATAATAGATTAATGGATAAAAACATTGAAATTGTTCCTTGTTTAAATAAACTTAACTCTAATCTAGACGAAAAATGTGTTTACTGCTTTCAGTCGACCAGATAAAAAGCAACGTACGGTAAATATTGAAAACTCCAGGCATCGAAAACAAGAGCAGAAGCACCCTCAGCCACAACCTTGTAAGAGGGAAGGTAAATGGCATAAATATGATCGCTCTAATGGAAGACACATGGCAAATGTCGAAATAGAATTGGGGCAATTACCTTTTGACCCTAAATATTGACCATGATGATTAAGTTAAATTAGAAAACTAACAAATATGGATGCTTTCTACAATGTCTGGTATTGAAACTAGGATGAGATTATCGAGATAACAATGTATTTTTATCATTTTTAAATATCAGTTTGATAACTATTAATACCCAGAAGCATCAAGCAAAAACTTACTAACATGCTGTTGTTTAGCTTTGTTGAATATTTTTCAGCACTGGAAATGTTCAGCTGTAGTTCTGTTAAAGAAACCAGTCACACCACAGGTTTTGTGCATGAAATGACCTCTTTTAGTGTATGAGTTTAAAGCAAGCCCAAATCATAACATGACAAAGTGTAATTAACACTGATATTTGTGTTAAATTTGCAGTAGAGCTTGATAAGAGTACCTTGTGATGGAATTTCTTCTTTAACATTTTATAATCTTACTCTTGCTTCTTGTCTTTTTGTGGGTTCAAGAGCCCGTTGACTTGTGAAGAATTTGCTGCCTTCTTTTGAGCTTGCTGACTTGTTCTCTTGTGAAATTTCTTGCACATCTGAATATTGTGGAAGAAACAATAAAACTACACCATGAGGAAAACTAAAGGTCTTTATTTAAAATCTGGCATTAATATACGATTTCATACTTTGGGACATTTTTCATACATTTCCTCAGTAGTACTATTTGGTAAAGCAATACATAGGTTTTTGCTAGTTCCATGAATCTTACCCAGTGTTTACTACTGTATTTAAGCAACATCTGAGTATTTCTACTCAGTGTCTATTTCTCCGGGAAAGATCTCAGTACAGTTCAGAATTTCATCTTCTCTGGAGTTTCCCTTTTAATTTCCGTTCATAGACGTATATGTGACTTCCAGTTCGACCTTCTGGCAAGTGAGTGTGGAAGAAAACAGCAGTTCTCTCATAGTTTCTTGAAATTAGGAAAGCACTTATTTCCTAGAAATAAATATTTAAGTAAATAAAGGCTACATTTTGCTGAGGACTGTTTTCAGAAGTTTAGAATGACCTATTCTCATTTGTGCCTCTATAACTTCTTAATAAAAAAATGCAGTTCCTTAAATTAACTTATGGTAAGTTATATAAAGTAGATAAATATTGATATACATAGAAGTGGGGCTGATTTTGTCTAGGGGAAAAAGACCACTTACAAAGTGTAGGGATTAGAAGGGACAATAAATATATATTGTCTATTTCCCTGGGTGTTTACTAACCATAAGGTGAAACTGTTTTTCCCTTTTTTCATGTTTCCTTACCTCTTCCAAAATGCTGAATATGATTAAGTAAGTAGGCAATGTTGAATTGCTGTGAAACTCTTCAGCCAGCCAGCTCAAGGGATTTTGATAAAATAGATCTGCTTCATCAAGATACTGACTTTTTCCAGTCAGATCTGGGGGACACTGGAGAAATCGCATTGGAAGTGGGTAGTGAACATGGCTGTGAAAAGAAAGTTACCATTATAGTTATAAGAAGTAAAAAAACAAGTGAAAGTTTCCAAGTTACTCTTAAGATATATCATATTTACATAACAACAAAATGAAATCAGAATGCATACTGGGTTCCAGTTTAGGTGAAGAGGCAAGCCTTTAATGCAGTTTTCTCCAAGATGTACGATCTTCACACTGTGTACCTGTACAGCAGCAGCATGACCTTTATTTAAGTAAGATTCAGTAACAGAGAGCAGTATATGTTCACTGGTTAAAGCCCAAATAAGGAATGGTTTTACTGTGTATATAGAAAGACTACAGCATATATAAAAAAGATAGATTGATGAATCATGACAAATTAATGCCAGTTACTTGGACCATGCAAACAGCTATATTTATAACTGTCTCAGGAAAAATTAATAAAGATAAATACATGGTAGAGTCTATTTTTATCTGTGAAATGCATACCAAGTAAATACACACAAGAGCTAATACTTCATTACTTTTATAATTTTGCAGATAAGGGGAAAGCAGAAAGAGCAGGCAGCCTTGTAGTCCAAAGTAGACATCACCCTTTCTTTTGCCTCATTGTATACTTTGAAAGAACATAAGATGAGAACTTGGTGAAAAGTATAAAGTTTGAGACATAAAAGGATTGCAACCATGTATGGAAAGCAACTTGGCACCTGTAGAATTCGTGTTCTTTGCAGTGTTACCACTAATGTGAACATGGAGGGAAGGGGAATGTGTCTCTTCCAGTTCTAGTATTTTTTTTTATATAGTAGGGGAGGCTGAAGTTAAAGGGACACTTGAGGTCTTAGATCTGTCTAACCTGTGACTTTTGCTAGACAATTCTAATTTTCCAAATTGTGTATTAATGGTAGGCATTAATGACTGACATAAGAGTATTAAAAAAAATGTTAAATTATCTTAAAAAGATAACTTGGGTACTAGGGTGACTGAATGTGCAAACATGAAATTAACTTGACTCCAGATTAAGTTAAATAGGTGTAAAATTTTCTACATAAAAGCTGTTTGCCCTTGTACTGATGTTAGGCATTTGGTACTTGTACACCTTTCTAACAAGCATAGGGCCAAATGGATGTTTTTTAATGCCCTGTATAGTTAAGACAATTTTATTGTTATATTCCCAGAAACACCTAATTCAAGTATTAGGATATCACCTAATTTGAGTTCCCTAATTTTCACAGGTGAGACAACATATCCAAAGATATTAAAAAGACTGGTTAAAGACCAGAGCAATAGTCCAGCAGTAAATTTAGACTAGAAGCCAGTGTTTTGAGATTAATTCAAAATTGTATACATATAAGATGTATGTATCACAGAGATTTGTAGTAATATCAGTGATAACTTAATTTCTTTATTAAGGAATTAAGCCCTGGCTGATGTAGCCCGGTTGGTTAGAGTGTAGTCCTATAAACTGAAAGGTTGTGTGTCCGATTCCCAGTGAGGGGGACTTGCCTAGTTGATTGATGTTTGTTTCTTTCTCTCCCTCTTCCTCGTCTCTAAAATCAATAAGCATGTCCTTGGGTGACGATAAAAAAAAAAAAAAAAAATCAAATGACCTAAAAAATATATATTTGATCACTTAAATCTAAATTGTTTAAAATTTTTAAAAAGGATAGTAAAGTGGTATATGATTTTCATCGACATAGTTCAAATGGTTAAAATTTATCAGTGAATAAATAATGGAGTTTCAAATATTATTGATCAGTGATCAGTTAATTTAAATCTAGGAATCTGAAAGTAATTTTAAGCATGTAATTTTTTAAAAAATTTTATTTATGTATTTTTAGAGGAGGGAAGGGATGGAGAAAGAGAGGGAGAGAAACATCAGTATATCCTCTTGCATGCCCCCTACTGAGGACCTGGCCCGCAACCCAGGCATTTGCCGTGACTGGGAATCAAACTGGCTACCCTTGGTTCTCAGGCTGGTGCTCAACCCACTGAGACACACAAGCCAGGGCTGAAAGTAATTTTAAAGTAGTTTCATTTTCTTAACAATAGCATAAAGTAGAACAATTTTTATTACCTATAAAAAGGAGTAGAGTGGCAAGGCATCATTACAAATACTGAAACTGCAGATTTATTTGGATTGTTATAACAGAGTTCTTGAATATGAGACATGACATCCAGAGTACCTCGTTGATGAACTAAACCAGTATAGAGGGCAAGGAGCATATTTGATAAAAACAGGAAACTTAGAGCTGTTTTTTTCCACATTTTCAGGTGATTTAGTGAATACCCTGTATAAAAATAGACATGACATGTTTAATCGTAACACTGGCAGTCTTGTTTTCTTATAGCTAAGCAATCGGTTGCTGCAAATACATTTATAATATTTCATGGAAGTAGCACAGCTGTAATGCTGTCATAAACAAACAAGATATAATCAGCAGGTTGCTCTGACCATTCGCCATCATTGTCTATCGTCATCTAGGTCTTGACCTTTTCATAGGAAAAGGAATTGAAGTGTAATGGAAAGATTATGGCCAGGGAGTCCAACAGACTTAGATTTGAATTCTTGCTCTGGCACCAGTTGCTTTACTTTGCTGAGCAATTAAGTTTTCCCAGCTGCAAATGGGGTAACAGTACCTTTTTCAAGTATTAGTAAAAAAGGTGTGTCAAGTGCCTGTTTTGCTACATGTAGTTGCTAGATAAAGAGGACTTCTATTTATTCCATTACCTCTTTTCTCTTTAATATCTGAAGGACTAGCAATGGATTGTGTACATACAAGTCTCAGTAATTCTGGAGGAAGCACAGCAGAATGTACACTTAGAAAAATATATCACTGGGAGATTTTTGGTATTCAGTATGAGTGATGGCATGGATCTTTTCCTCCAAGAAGAGGAGCTAAGGTGTTTTTTTACCCCCTTCCCCACCATAGTGTTGGGCAGTTTGGAGATGCTGAACAATTATCCTTTCTTAATGTGGCAAAAAAGCAAAAACAAACAAACAAACAAAAAAAAACATGGGAAAAACCATGTAAATGAAAAATTTAAAAGTTCATCCCCGTCCCATAGTCCTACTCTCTCTAGCAGTAGCCACTGATAATGCGCACATTAGGATCTGTTCAAAATACTGTCAAAAAACAGGCCTTTACACTGGAAAAGAATAAGCTTACTAGTAAACGACCTTGACATTAGATTTTATGCTCTACACGCATTGTCTTCACAGAATTAGATTATAGTTATTTTGGAATTTGGGTATCCAGGACCCAGTCTATGGCCTGCCTGAAATTTTAGCGCTAATCCCCACCGGGGCCAAGGCACTGTTTTCCATGACCATCACCTAATTGACTATTATCAGCTGTCTTAGCTTGGCTCAACCACTAAAAAATATTTGAACATGAATAAAATTAATTTTAAACTGTTTCCACTTAAACTACACTAACATAAAGTTGGCTTAGGAAGAACTGTAAAATCAAATTTGGGCAAGAAATCCTAAATGCTTGATTTTATTATATAAAATTACCTACAGTTCATTACATTCAGTAGTTGATCATATGTCCATTCCATCTAGTACTGCTTGAAATAGCTCTGATGACCCAAAGAACATTATGAAAAGCAGCGTGATAAATATAGTCCGATCAAGAAACTTAAACCTACCTTTAAAACTTAAACCTAAATTTGTAAGATGTTTGAAAATGAGGAACCTGCTAAAGAGGATGAACTAGAATTAGCTCTATTAGAACTGAAAAAGGAATCCAAGTTCTGCTATCTGTAGTAATTCCAGCCACAGATAAAACAGACCAGCAAATACAACTTGAAAGTGAAGTGCTTTCTCAGGTTGACAGGCAATAACAATCTACCTAGTGGACTCAAATTACAGAAAGGTTCATTAAAGCCTACTTTGGCAAGGCTCTAACTCAGGAATGTTCAAATAAGGATACCATGGACCTCTAGTGTGGTTCCTTCATTAATTTTTTCATTTACTAAGTGTTCATTTAAAGCATTATCAGAAACTATGGTGACTGATATAAAATGGAATACACACAGTGGTGAATGTTATAAAAATGGTATTCTACATCAAATGCAGGCAGGTAACATAATCGTATTCCTGGCTTCAATACTGAGGGTCTTTTAAGTTAGGTAATGCTTACATTACCTTGTGTTGATTTTCACTTTCTGAAGCTAGCTCACTTTAGAATGATGGGTCCCTTCAGTGAGAAATGAATCTCCGCATTTGGAGGAGAAATAGAAAATTCTGGAAGAGAAGGAATGGTCTTGAATTTGATTGAGGGTTTTCAAACTAACATTAGAAAGTTTTCCAGGGGGATTTCATAAAGTGGAGTTGCTAATGGCAGAGATGGAAAGATAACAGCTTGAATGCTAGACTGAGTTACAAAAGAAGCCAGAATCCATGGTTTTCTTACAGGGAAATGGTATGGTTTCTCTACTATTTAAAAGAGGTAATTAATAAGGTCCTAAGAGCTACCATCCAGTAAGTCTACTTAGATGTACATACAAATAAAGAGATGCAGTTTTCACTAAAAGGTTTCACCCTAATAAGAGCTAGCTTCACAAAATTATAGTCATCACCATGTAATATAAGCATGACATAACTTGAAATATAAGACCCCACTCCCAGTTACTGCTCAAGTTTTTTTTTTTTTTTTCCCCTAGCCTATAAAACCACTTAAATCCTTTGGCTTCATGTAATTTCCATGAGAACAAGGATGTAGTATGAACTGTGGTGACTACCTGTCAGAAACAGGCCCCTCCATTTCACATAGTGGCTAACTCAATGCTAATAACATCCCAGAATATTTAATTTTCTCCTGTTGTCTGGGCCTACAGAAAGATACCTGAAAGTGGGTATATAGAAAATTTCTGGGAAAGTTTATAAGAAAATGATAACTCTGGGGAATGGAGCTACATGATTAGAGGATGGCACTGATGGTTTATTATTTTTTTGTACCACAGATATTTTTATAAGAAACAAACTGGGTTCTTATCAAATCGCTCTCATCAGACTACTGTTTAAAAAGTGTCCTAAATCCTTTATGTCCCAGTTGACTGCTCTCTGGGCTAAAATCTAAAAACAAGTATCGAAGGTGCCTCATGACTTGGTTCCTCCTTTACTGAGCCATATCTCCTAATTGTCATATATATCTTGATAACACAATCACATGTTCAGTTTTGGATATTTAGTGTGTGAATCTGTTCAGCAATGACAGGAGTTCCTCCTTTCCTGGGTGAGGTTCGTTATAATGATGCTGATGGGAAAGCTAGGGGCTGTACATTACTAATGCCATCAAACACTGATGGGGATGCATCCTGATTTTGACAAGAATTAATAGAAAACTCAGTGTTAAGAAAAAAATATCTACCTATTTGAGATATTTCTGAGTTAATGTTTTCATTTTAAAATACCTCTTAGTAAAGCTGTAAGTCAACTTGATGTCAGTGTGAAGGGTAGTTTAATTCTAGAAAGGGATGTGAGAATGGGTGTGGGGAAGCGAGTCTTTGAACTATTAAGAACCATATCAGCATTTTATTTAGAGATAAGTTGACAAAATAACTACCTAAAAGTGATTGCCTCTGGGGAGGGAAATGGGGAGAGGACATGGAAGCTTGTTTTTTTTTTAAAAAACAAACTTATGCCATTTGAAACATGTATCTATGTAATTTTGAAAAAGATTAGCATATGGAAAAACAGTGGCCTAATCAGAGACCAGAAAGTCTAGACTGGCTACTCTGGTAAAAAAACATTAAACACACACAACCCAGAATGGATAACAGGTCCTGGAAACATACCAACACAAATAACAGTGTTATTAGAATTTCAGTGTTACTAGACCAGTGGCATCTTTATTTTACAGATAAGGAAACTGAGGCACAAGGTTATAAAGTCCACTAAGGATCAGAGCCAATTACAGAAGGTATGTTTTTCTATAGTTAAAAGTCCTATTTTTGGATAGGACCGAGGGAAACAAACTAGAGAAGAAAAGTTACTGCAAATGGAAAGAATGGCTGCAATTATTCCTCTTCCTGTTTCCAGTCCCTACATGAGCCTGAAGTTCATTTCTCATCTTTCGAATCTGCCCTGGCTTTGGGACTGTGGTGGAAGACAGTGTGCCAGTTCAGTTCCATGCTTGGGTCCCAAAGGGCCTTATACACTTCTGTTCCTTCTCTTGGAACCCTGCTGACACCAAGTGAACAAGCCCCAGCTAGCCTGCTCAAGAGAGAGAGCAGAGAACTGAGGAACCTTGGCTTATAGCCAACTGAACCCCAACCGTTGAGAGCACAGCTTAAGTCTATAGAGCTCTGTGTACTCCTCCTGCAGCTGATCACATTTAAGTGAACTCTAGAGATAGGAAGAACTACCCAGCTGAATTACAGACTCGGAAATAAAAATAAATGGAGCTTTAAGCCCTGGTTGGTATGGCTCAGTGGACTGAGTGCCAGCCTGCGAACCAAAAGGTTGCCTATTTCATTCCCAGTCAGGACACATGCCTGGGTTGCGAGCCAGGTTCCCAGTTGGGGGCATGTGAGAGGCAACTGATTGATGTATCACTCACACATCAACGTTTCTCTCCCTTTCTGCCTCCCTTTCCCTCTCTCTAAAAATGAATAAATAAAATCTTAAAAAAAAAATAAATGAGGCTTTAAATCAATAATTTTTGAGGTAAATTGACAGCAATTGACAATAGTGATATCATGTTTATATAAAATCAGGTTCACGTAGTTTATACAAGAACAGAATAAAACTGACATCTGAAGTACAGTATAAATCAATCTCAGGTGGTTAGAAAAGACCCAAACTGGGTTATTGAACACATCAAGAACTCCAAAGAGAACTGTTTGACATCCTTCCTGAATATCCAAAAATTTCTGTCTAGGTGAACTGACTACTTAAGGGTCCTGTTTTCGGAACCTGCTGGCATAAAGAGTTTTGACTTAATGGCAGTGTCAGTGTCCTAAGAATCGGAATCTCTTGGTCACTCAAGAACCTTGGGTACATGTCTGGAGGAAAAGATCACATCCTGTGAGGTCAGGGGGTTGGGTAGGATTCAGTCCTTCAGGTAGCCTTCTGAGTGGGCACCAGCTGGAAGATCGATTGATTCTTGTCTGTTACAAGACGATCTCAACCCTCACCAGCATTTGATCTAAGTCTGTGCGACTGGGAACCAGAGATTTCATGATTCTAATACTAAAAGATGTAATCTTTTGGACTGGGAGTGAAGTTCAAAAAACTCATTCTTTCCCGGAAACACTTTGTAAAGATACACGCAAGTGAAATGCTGGAAAAATCCAGATTATAAAAGTGAAATCAAAACATCTTCCTAAATTAAGCAAACATGCACACATCTGTCTTTCAATAGTCCAGCAATGCTCATCAGGGCAGAGAGCAAACAATTTAATTAGAACTCTAACCCAAATTCATTAAAAAAAAAAAAAAAAAAGGATGGTGGTTGATGAACAAATTTGCTGTGGTAAATGAACTCACTATTCTTAAGACTTAGCAAATAGTAGTTAGATACCTATATTTTTATATGTGTCTGTACTGTAAGACCATAAAGTAATGACTAATTTTGGTTTCAGTACTTTAGATGTAGATATAGAGTATATGTTTGTACTTAAATGGAAAGAATACATCTGAGATCTGTAGGAGATAATGTATACTTGGTCAAGAAGGCTTCTTGATTCTTTGGAGTTCTTTTCATAAGTAAAAAGGTTGATACAATTAATTCCTTAGCTTTGCCTTGTCTCTGTAGTCTCATTTGATTACGCATTTCTTTGCTCCCCAGTCCAGTGATTTTTTAGTGATTAATATTTGAAGGAAATCAGCACTCATTCATTTTGAATTAAAGTTGAAGTTAATAAAATTTCAATTCATAATTTTTCCAAAACAACCAATGTAAAAATTCTAGACTTGAATGATACAAAACTTTAGAAGTCACGTGTAAAGAAATTATTGCAAAGACCTACTGGAAAAAAATAGGAAAGGGCCAAAAATAAAATCAGGTGTAAACACTTTAAAAATTGCATAGAGTGAGTCTTAAAGCATTAAAAACCAGTTTCAACAGCTATACATATATTTTCATTTATGGAACAAAGAACTTACTAGTTTAATCATAAAGTAACTTCTAAAATAGACATTCCATCACTTTTAGTGAGAGATTTCTAATAGCCAGGAACACCATCACCAGAAGGTGCTTTAGATAGTGGATCCTTAGGATTTTATCTCACTTTACAGGACACAGCAAAAAAGGATATTTAGGCTGCAAAAAGAGAATACTGCAGTAATATAATTATTTTGTAATTAGAAGCAATTCTCTTTTAGCCTAGTTGGAAATAAATATTTTAGAGTTTAATGAGCTTTAATAAGAGCATATTGTCCTTTACCTACTTCTATATAATTTTTTTCTATATTGAACAAAAATACTTACCACAGAATACCATACAAAATGGTAAAACTGGATAGATAAACCTGAATTCTTTGTGGCTCAACATGCTATAATAGAAAAAAATATTAAAATATTTTCTCATATTATATACTTTAATAAATTAATGCATTTAAAATGAAACAACATGATCTGTTCTAAGTACTGAGATTAAATTTCATGCTTCAGGAATCAGTGTCATATTTTTTAGTTATAAGGTGACGATGTGTTAAAAGTAATCCTAACATTGATGTCAATGTCTAAGGTAAAATTGCATTCTAAAAAAAGATTTCTATTACCAATCCAGGTAAGTCATATTACTCAAATTTGGAAGAAAGATGCATACATTTTCATTTTAAAATACTATTTCTCTGGTTCCTTCAATACTTAAAATTTTAATTGTTTCTGTTTTTTAAGAGCAAGTAAAATTTGTTTAACTTCTTAAAAGTTGAATGTAATCCTTGTTAAGTAAACTATACTTATCAGAACTATTAATTCTATCTGAGCACCAGTGTAATTACTACCTTTTCTGTCTGCTAAATTATCCCAATTAATTAATCAATATTTAATGCTTCTCCAAAAGGTAACAGTTTACTTTTTGAAGAATTTTAATTTCTTGGTAACATTATCAAAATTAACTTTTTGAACAAATAAAAGCTTACCTGTAAACCAGAAGTGTCCACAGTATAGTCACCAAAAGTATCCGGTACCTCTTTGGGGCTAGAAAGCAGCCATGAATAAAGAAGGGTAGGTGAGTGCCCAAAACAACTGGAAATCCTTGACTGAAGTACCAGTGCCATGGGTGAGAACCATAAAATGTTCCCAAATTCTGCAGCACGTTAAATTTCAAAAAATTATACTGAACCAGAGTCCACTGGCATAGTTGAAGGAAAGAGAAACAGAAATGTATTAGTTCCAAGTATGAATCTTTGGTATTAGGGAGTTTGGCAGAATCTTGACATTAAATCAGGAATGAAGTCTAAAAACCAAGTAATGGTTTACACTAATAATTTGGATTAATGATCATATGAAATCTTTTTTTTAATCTATGTATTGTGTTCTTTGTTTGTAAAACAGTAGGTTTTTGAGATTCAAGAAAGTGAATACACATTCAAATTTTGACAAAGTAAGTTTTACATAAAATTAGAGCTAAAGCCATGACTCGTGTGGCTCAGTGGGTTGCAGGCCAGGTCATGCGAGAGGCAACAAACCAATGTTCTCTCACACACTGATGTTTCTTTCTCCCTTCCTCTCTAATAATAATAATAAAAAAAAAACTTACAAAAAATTAGAGCTAAAGAGAACACTTAAAAAATAATTTTTATGAGAGAGTATGTGGGGAATGTACGTTAAAAAATTTAATTCTAGCCCTAGCTGGTGTGGCTCAGTGGACTGAGTGCCAGCCTGCAAACCACAAGGACGCCTGGGCTGTGGACCAGGTCCGCCGTTTGGGGCATGTGAGAGGCAGCCGATCAATGTTTCTCTCGCACATTGATGTTTCTCCCCCTTTCTTTCCTCCTTCCCCCCCTCTAAAAAAAGTAAAATCTTTTAATGAAATTATTTTAATTCTAGTACCTTATATCACATGTTACCTGGTAAGATAAAGCTTTGGAAACATTGCAATTGAAGTTTGACACAAAGCAGATGATAATTGAAAGAAACAGCAGCTAGCGTGAAGTACTTGCTTGTGCCAGGCACCACTGTAAGCATTACGCGTGCATTATTTCATTTAACCTGCTAATGTTATGAGGCAAGTACCATAATTATTTCCAGATGGGTAAACTGGTGAGAAAGGTACATAGCATTATTAGCTCTGTACCACGGTCACAGAGCTAATAATGAGGGCACTAAGCTTCAAACTTCAGCAGTCTGATTTCCAGAGCCCATAGAGTGACTTAAAAACAACCAACAGGAGATTAAAATGTCAAGAGAAATGCTTTAGGAATAGAGTAGTATGGTTAATTTGAATTCTGAATGATTACTTTCAGGCCAATTAAAGTCATTTTTAAAAGTCTAACCTTTACTGCTTACAAACCTGACAAAAATGCCTTATAAAATGGACTCCTGAACTTCAACTAGGAATACACAGTTCTGTTTATGGAAAGTGCAAAAACTGAATCAAAGGCACATGCTAGCAGTTTTTTTTTTAAATGACTTGCCTATGTTCCCAAATATTCATGAATTAAAATATCAGGTCAAGCTTTTATTGTAATAAATGGCTAGACTGTAAATAGCTTAATATATTTTACTCACCTGACCAAAAAACATACGATCAATTATCAGAGAACAACTCAAAGTGACAAATCTGAAAATGAAAAACAGAAGTAGGTTGATTAACATAATGAAAAACAGAAGTAGGTTGATTAACATTCTGAACTTACTGGAAATCCAGTATTGGCATGTAGATTTGCAAGTGCCTTATATCAAAGCCATTTATTTTTTTAAAGCCACTTTAAAAATGCTTTAGTTTCATATACTGAATATGGATTTACCCATTTTGAAAGATCATTACCTAGCTGCATTTAAGTAAACTCTTAAAAAATAATAAACACTGCATTACATAATGCTGTATAACAAATTACCCCAAAAGTTGGCAACTTAAAACATATATTATCTCAGTTTCTCAAGTCAAGAATCCAGCCAGGCACAGCTTAGCTGGTGTCTCTGGCCCAAGGTCTCTCGTGAATTGTCAAGATGTTGGCTGGGCTGGTCAAGATGGAGGTGTAGGTAAACATGCCTGGCCTCCTTGCACAACTACAGCAAAAATTATGAGACTACAAAAGCATATCACCCAGAATTGTCAAAAAATTAAGCTGTATGGAAGTCTGAGAGCCAAGGATTTAAAGAAACCACCATCATCCAGATGGGTAGGAAGGGCAGAGGCGCGGAGAGGTGGAGAGACATGGAAAGGCATGGGGAGAAACACACAAAATGGTGCTGAAAAGCGTAGAGATGCAGAACAGGTGGTCTAATACGCATCTCTGGTGGATAAAGATTGGGAGGGGTATCTTGGGAGTGAGGGATGATCCCAGCCCCAGGGTTCCAGGGCTAGGGAGATACTGTATTTTGCTGTGTATAATGTGCACTTTTTTGCCAAAGTTTTTGAGAGAAAAATAAGGATGTACATTATACATGGGTAGTACTAATTCCATACATATGTAAATTTTTTTATGCTTATGCATTAAAAATATGACTCTAGAAAGCAATCATGATATCCACATGCAAAATAATACCCTAGAATACAATATTCGGTCTTGTTTCTAAATATAAATTAATTAAAAAATTAAGGTGAGATTTTTTTACATGAAAGTTCAGGTCATAAATGTGGGTGTGTATTATATATGGGAGTGTAGTATACATGGCAAAATACAGAAAGTCCCCATAACTTCCAGCTGTAAAAACCAGTGGGGGCTGGGGCAGCAGAAGAAACTGCGGGATTCTCAAGAGACTCCTCTTAAAGGGCCCACAACAGACTTAGGACTAATGCAGATTCACCCTCTTTGGGATTCAGCACCAGGGCAACAGCTGGAAGGTTGCCAGTGTAACCCCTGCAAAACTCCAGAGGCCGGGCAGTGGCACTGCACCTTCTCTGAGCACTCACCCACACGGAGCCACACAGTGGTGACCTGGGTTGCCCTGTTCTGGCGATTACCTAAGGCTCCACCCCATACAACTTACAGGTGTGCTTTTCTACAATAGGCCACACTACTAAGGGAGTCAAAGCAGTTCTACCATATACACAGAAACAAACACAGAAACAAACAACACAGGGAGGCAACCAATGTGAGGAGACAAAGAAATAGGGCCCAAATGAACAGAAAAAAACCTCCAGAAAACTAAACAAAATAGAGATAAGCAATCTATCAGATACAGAGTTCAAAACACTGGTTATCAGGGTGCTCCAGGAACTCACTGAGTGCTTCAACAGCATAAAGACCCAGACAGAAATCATGGTTACACTAAGTGAAATAAAAAGAAAACCTACAGAGAACCAACAGTGGAGGGGATGAAGCAGAGAATCAAATCAATGATTTGGAAGATGAAAAAAGCATTCAATTAGAACAGCAAGAAGAAAAAAAGAATTAAAAAAAAAATGAGGATAGGCTAAGGAGCCTCTGGGACATCTTTATACATACCAACATCTGAACCATAGGGATGCCAGAAGGAGAAGAGGAAGAGCAAGAAACTGAAAACTTATTTGAAAAAGTAATGAAGGAAAACGTCCCCAGTCTGACGAAGGAAATAGACATACAAGGCCAGGAAGCACAGAGTCTCAGACAAGATGGACCCAAACAGGATCACACCAAGACATGGTAATTAAAATGCTAAAAGTTAAAGATAAAAAGATAATCTTAAATACAGCAAGACAAAAGCAGATGGTCACCTACAAAAGAGTTCCCATAAGACTGTCAGCTGATTTCTCAAAACAAACTTCGCAGGCTAGAAAGGTCTGGCGAGAAGTATTCAAAGTGATGAAAAGCAAGGACCTACAACCCAGATTACTCTATCCAGCAAAGCTATCATTTAGAATTGAAGGGCAGATAAAGTGCTTCCCAGACAATGTAAAACTAAAGGAGCTCATCACCAAGCCATTATTATATGAAATGCTAAAGGGAATTACAGAAGAAAAAGAAGATAAAAACTATGAACATTAAAATGACACATTCACAACTATCAAAAATTGAATCTAAATAACTAAGCAAACAACTAGAACAGGAACAGAATCATACACATGGAGATCATTTGGAGGGTTTTCAAATGGGAGGGGGAAGGTCAATCTCCATTCCCTTCCCAAAGGGGAACACTATCCTGACTTCTGATCGCATTGATGTTTTACCTTTTCTGAATTTTACAAAAATTGAATCATACTATATGCACTCATGTCCAGTTTCCTACAATCAATAAACGTTTGTGAAGTTTAATCATTTTTTTGTACACTGCAGTAGTACATTAATTTATAATACTGTACAGTATTCCACTGAATTAGTATGTCACAATGTATTCTGTTGATGGGCACTGTGCTTTCCTTTTGTAGGTATTAGCAGTGTTTGAACATCCTCTGCTCATCTTTTGGTTCCTATACATATGCATTTTTGTTGAGTATACACATAGGATTGAAATTACTGGGCTCCAGGGTACAGGCACAGTCAGCTTTAATTAATAGTTTTCCAGAGTTGCATCAATTTATAGTTCCCCAGGAATATATAATGATTCTATATCTTTTTAAGCCATTTAGGTAGATTCATAGAAGCATGTCATGGTGATTTTATTTACATTTCCTTGATGACTAATGAGGTGAGTACTTCTATACTCCCTGGTTATTCTTTTGAAATGCCTGTTCAGGTCTTTTCATTAATTTTCTATTAAGTTATCTTTTTCTTAACAGACTTTTATAAGTTCTTTATATAATTTTTGATTTTTTATATTGCTATATATATATATCGTGCTGCAAATATCTTTTGATCTGTGCCTAGCCTTGATTTTTTACTACTTAATGGTGAATCTGATGAAAAAAGTCTTGAATTTTAATGTATTCAAATTTATCTATCTTTTCCTTTATACTTAACACTATGTTCTATTTAGGAAATCTCTGCCTCAAGGTCATGAGGATATTCTCTTATATTTGGCAGAAGTGCCACTCTTTTACCTTTACATTAATATCTTTAATTCCCTTGGGTTTTTGTTTTTTTATTGGGGGGCTTATGGTGGCAAGTCAGTCAATATTAATTTTTTTCATATGGATATCCTAATTCTATATTTACTGAAAAGACTATCCTTTCTCTACTGTACTCCAGCATTACTGTCACTATAAATGAAGTGGGCTGGACCTTACTGTGTTCTACCAGTCTATTTGTTTTACCTTACATTAATTACTGTAACTTTGTAATAAGTCATGACATGTAGTACTGTAAGTCTTCCAACATATTTTTTTCCTCCAAGATTCAACTGGCCTTTTAAAAAAAAAAAAAAAAAAGATTTATTTTTAGAGGGGGGGGCGGAAAGGAGGGAGAGAAACATCATGGTGGGAGGGAAACTGATTGGTTGCCTCTTGCACGCCCAAAACTGGGGACCTGGCCTGCAACCCAGGCATGTGCCCTGACTGGAATCAGAATGACAACTTTTTGGTCCTCAGGCCGGCGGTCAATCCACTAAGCTACACTAGCCAGGGATCTATTGGCCTTTGCAGTCTACTTAAACTTAAAATCAGTTTATTGATTCATCACCCCCTCCTCCTATTGGGATTTTAATTGTATTGCACTGAATAGATCTGTCTGGGGAGAACTGATACCTTTAAAATATTAAGTCTTCCATCCATGAACACAATATATTCTATTTATTTAGGTCTTCATTACTCTCTCCCAATAATGTTTTGTAGCTTTCTGTATAGAGGTCTTGTACACCTCTCATTATTTTATTTGTAGGCATGTGATGTTTTTTGATGCCACTGTAAATGATACTTCTGTTCTCTTAATTTTTTGTTTTGACATGATTTCTGACTGAGAAAAGCTGCAAGAATAGTACAAAGAATTCCCATAAATCCTTCCACTAGTGCCCTAAATGTCAGCATTTTACCATATTTGCTTTATCCTTTTCTTTGTCTCTTACAAATATACAGCTTTTTTTTCTGAGCTGCTGACAGTAAGTTGCAGTCATAATTCACCTGAATCCCTAAATACTTGAGTGGGTATTTCCTAAAAACAAGAAAATTCTCTTACATAAACCACAAATCCTCACAGGAAATAAACACAAAATCTTTATGGCTATCTAATTTATACCTTGTTCAGATTTTGCCAATTGTCCCAATAATGTATTTTATATAAAGAAATAAAAGATCCTGATCATTTGTTGTGTTCATTTGTCATGACCCTTTAGTCCCCTTCCTTCATAAAGGTTACATTCTAGTGGGGAGACTGTCTCCCCGCCCCGCCCGCCGCCCCGTCCCCAAGACTGACTTTGGGAGCAGACACTGTGTCTTACCTCTGAATCATCAAATGCTAGATACAAAGTATGTTAAAGGTTGTTGTATGAATAAACTATATCATACTGCTAAGAGTAAAAAGGGCTTTCATCTCCCTCAGTGTAAAAGCCTGATGAACTAAGCCTCTGCTCTCCCGCTGACCTCACTATCACATTGTCCCAAGCTTCACTCTGCTTTAGACACACCAGTCTCTCTGCTGTTGCTAGGAAATGCCAAATAACCCCTGCGTCAAGGTCTCTGCACTTTGATTCCTTTGTCTGGAATACTCTTTCTTCATCTACACAGTTCACTCAGTTCCTTTAGGTTTTACCTCCAATGTCACCTTACCATGGTGGGGTCTTCCCCAATTACTCTGTAACACCCCTTCCATCACGCACCAGCATTCTATCCTTGTGTCATTATTTCTTCCTACAGCACTTATTGTCAATTGACACATATATATTACAAATACATAATTGTTTTTAGCTACCTGTCTTTCCCCACTAGCATGTAAACTTCATGAAGGTAGGGACTTTGTTTTGTTAAACTGTTCTGTTTCCAGCATCTGTAATAGCAACTAGGATACTCTAGGGTTAAGTAAATATTGCTGAATGAATGTATTGCATTCAAAACAATTTGTATAAATCTGAGAAATGACAACAGTGATTTAGTCAACAGATGAATTTAGTCCTTTTTATTACTACCAAAAAACACTTGTACAGAGTGCATATGAAGTATATTAGAAGATCACTGTTCTAAGAGTCAGGATACATTCATCCCTTGTCAATAAATAACTGTTTTTGTATACTCTGCTAAATATTTGGGTTAAGTCTGATCCTAGAGCTCAAAATACAGTTAGAAGACCTGGGTTTCAATCTCAGTTCCATAGCAACCAACCTAATGACTCTGGGCTCTTATTTCTATTTCGGCCAAACCCCATTTCTTCTGCAAAACAAAAACACCTACATTGCCTAGATCCAAAAGTTTTGAAAATTAGAGGTAATATGTGAATGCACATTATAAATTATAAAGCTCTGTACAAATGTAAAAAAATCAAGTACCTCTAAAATGCATCTGGGAAATATTTAAGAAATAATGCATAGGAAAGTTCTAAGAAGAATTGCAAAGATCCTTTCTTATTTAAGCTTTCTTTTAAATTAAAATACAGTTAATCAGAATTATAAATATTAAAATATAAACTTGGAAATATTCTGTTTCCTTGGTCTGACAATTCTTATTGCCATTAGAAGATAAAATAATTAACTAAAAGATGTAAAATTATTTTTTACATCTTAATTTTAGTTTCTTTAAAGATTTTATTTATTTTTAGAGAGAGCAGGAGGGAGGGATAAAGAGGGGGAAAAACATCAATGTGCAGTTGCCTCTCACGCACCCCCTACTGGGGACCTGGCCCACAACCCGGGCATGTGCCCTGATGGGGAATTGAACGGGCAACCATTTGGTTTGGAGGCTGGTGTTCAATCCACTGAGCCACATCAGCTAGGGCATGTTTCTTAATTTTAGAGAGAAAGGGACAGAGAGGGAAATATCGATGAATGCCTCCCATACACCCCCCAAAACCTGACTGGGGATCAAACCTGCAACCTAAGTATGTGCCCTGACTGGGAAATCAAACCCACAACCTTTTTGGTATACAGGACAATGCTTACCAACTGAGCCACTTGGACAGGGCAAGATGTAAAGTCATGTTCATAATATATAATTTAGAGGTTATTAATATTAAAATATAAAAAATAATAGATGGATTGTAGCAATACTTACCCAATAGGTAAAAATTGATGTAGAATAAGATCAAGCTTTCTCTGTTCTTGCCAGAAATGTCTAAAGAACAAAGGTATCCATGGAATGAGAGCTGTGGGACGAATTATGAAGGCAAGTGCGACCAGGGATGAGTACTTGACACTATAAACATGGAAAAGGTACTGTCAAGACAACTGGGAAGTGAGTTTAGACGTTATCTACTATTTACACTGTGATATAACACTTTAAAAAATGAGAGCATTTTCCTTTTGGTATAAATAGCTATGTGAACATGGGAAAGTTACTTACACTTTCTGGCTCTTATTTTTTCTCATCCATAAAAACAGGTAATACCTAAGGTTTTTCACAGCTCTAATATCCCAATTCTGGTATTTTGAAATAAACAGTTATTCTATGTTTTAATGTTGGTCTTATTCATTGAAAGGTATACTAACTTTCAACCATACAATTCTGCCAGTTGCTTTCCTGATGGAAAAATGACCAAGTCTCTCATAAGAATATCAAAGTCACACAAAACCATTCTCTAAGACACCAACTGCATTTAAAGAAACATTAGGATTGATTATTTAGGCAATGATGGGCTTCTGAGTCCATATCATTTTGTTTTAAAAGTAAGCTGCAAATTGTATCCAACTGAAAGATGTATATGTACAACTGATTAAAATAGCCTGCTATAAAACCTACATGATCATGGATAGAAATGTGGGTTTTTACTGTTAGGACTTCTTTTAATAGCTGAAAGAGATTTAATCATGGACTACAGACAGTAAATTATCACCCGGAAATATACTTAGCCTTGCTAAAAACTGAAAGCTAGCAAAAGAAAACACCTTTATGATACTCTTTTATACCCGTTAAATAATAATTGTAAAGAATTCTAATGTTGGTGAGGATGTAAGAGCAAAGATTTCAAATTCAAAGGCTTTTATACAGATAAGTACTCAAAATAAGCCATGCAAGCAGTGTGGGGACTCTTATACTGTCAGGAAGGAATCCTGGCCCAAAATCTTGTTAGGCCTTCTATTTTTTTTTTTTTTCTCCAAGAGAAACCAGAAATCCAGATATTATGTAAGATCATCCAATTTTAAAACTTTGCCAAGTGAAATAAAACATAGTTCTGGCTTGGTCTGACTTGCAGACAGCCTAATTGTAACTTCTGCTACAGTGAAACTCCATAGAGGACAATCAGATGTATATTTTCAGTCCTAACTTCACTCCAAATTTTCAGACTTGGACTTCTTACTCCTTTCTGAATATTTCTACACAGATCTCTTCATGGCATTCCAAATCAAAGTGTCTGAAATAAGCCCTACAACTTCCCCTCAGACCTTTCCGTGTCTAGTATGTAAGTTAGTTTCTCAGTCTTAAAGTTCTGGAGTCACCTTAATAGCGACTTTTCATCCATATATATCCACTTTGTTTCTCTCCCATTCCCACTGGCATCATTTTATATAAAGTCCTGTTATTTGTCTGGAATCTCTTCATAGTCCATTTATTTTTTTGTATTGCTCAGCAACATTGCTTTACTTAATAATAACAATATCATTGTTATTATCAATATTGAGCACTTTGCAATAGGTCCTATGCTATACACTTTACATGGATTCTCATTTAATTCCTATGACAGCTATTCTATTCTCGTTTTACAGAAATCAATGCTTAGATATTTTCATACCACCCTTAAAAAAATCTTTCACTTATAATACTTGTGTTTTTAAAGTAGTTTGCAAAATGTCATTTATTGATAGGCCAGGAATAGCACCTGTCATGGAAAGAATGCTTATATAGTGGTTGTCTGTCCCACATGATCCTCCTTTTCTAACTGAAAAGGCAAAGGGCATCTGAACCCAGGCAGCCAATGTAAGGCTGGCCAGTGCGAAAACTATGTCCAAATAGGGACAATGACATTGAACAGACTTAATCAGATTCTCTCAAAGTGAATATGAAGTACACAGGAAGTGGACAGAGACTGGCCAAGCCTCATGATGACTAAAACAGGGATTCACAGGCTGGGCTGCAAAGGCACAAGAGAATAGCCCATTTCTCAAAACTACCTTGCATTCTGCATAACCTTCTAATTCATTTGTGTGGCTGAGATATTCTATAATTTTCTTGCAGGCCTGGCCACAAGTCTAAGATGCCCATTTTCCTTATTTTTACTTTTTCCTTGTAGTAAAGTCCTCATCATATAGATAACTGAATGACTATTCTTGCAGTCAAGAGCCTAATGCAGAAATGATCTTACTTAATTTCATCCTCACAACCACCTTTTTATATACAAAGAATGGATGCTAGCCTCTTAACTAGACTCAAATTATGGCTTTCGATCCCTTTCATTATATCCTAAATACAGCTACTAAAGAGAATTCTTTCTGAATCAGATATGATTATGTCCTGCTTCTCAAAAGCCTCCAGTGGTTCCCTACAACCTACAGAATACAGTTCAAATTCTGGAGAAGGGCAAAGTTCCTTTCAGCCTCATCCCTTATTTTTCTCTTCTCCCATGCACCCTGCCACACATTAGCTGCTCTGGAAAATCTGCTGAGAATACAATGAAGCCCCTTTACAGCGTTGTGCCTTTGCTCATGTTGTTCCTTTGGCTTCGTATTTGTTTACCAAGTTTACATGCATATGCCCAAATCAAGTCCATATATTTTCTATTTGCCCTTCTAGATCTGTTCTCTATTTTTCACCTACTGCATGTGCAGGGAGGCTGACCTGTATGGACTGTATCAATGGGATATCTTGCTTTCTAATTGGCGTTGGCTAATTGGAGGATAGAAGAATCAAGTCAAGGTATTTTATCCTCCCAGCTCTCTCCTTGTTATGGCTAAAGGCTGCCTGTGCCTTCTATTTGGGCCCTTTCAAAGTTACAGCTCTGCATGGATTCTAGTAACTTTCCTCTCCTTGCTCCTTGGGGCCAAGAGTAATAGAAACCAGTCCTGGGGTACTATGGCATCCCCTTATTGGCTTTTCTAAACATTGTCTACACTTTTGTAAATGGTCTTTTTATTAATTTCTCCTGAATTACTCCATTTGAATATATCTGTTTTCTGCTATAATAAATGTACCCACTGAAAATCTGTTGTAGTAATAACCTTCATAAACATTACGGGGTCCACTGGACATTACAATATGTTGATATTTAAGAATGTTCAAAAGTATGCTTTAGAATTTTGTATATTAACAATAATATATCTTACCTGTTCATAGACTTTGAACCTTCCAAAGGATAGTAGAAAAGAGCAATTATAGTGAGAACAGTTTCCATGGTGTTTGTAAGAGTTCTGGTACAGCAATACCATGTGAACCAAGAGCATAACTGGCAAAAAAACTAAGAACAATTATGAGCAAACATATATGGAGTGGGAAATTGAAAAGCTTAGTGTTCTTTTCTATGGAAAATAACAAGCAAGTCTAAATACTGCAAAAATCACATCAAAAGGTATGTAATGTTAAAAGTAGGCCTGCCCAAACATTGTTTTTGAGAATTTACATCAAATACAGGTCTGTGATATCAGATCTGTATTTATTAAAGAAGTTTGTATTTTCAGATACATTTTTATGGCATTGCATTTGATTTAATCTCACTTCCCACTAATAAAAGACACAAAACACAAGTTCTTTGATGGTATAGTTTATAGAGAATTGAAAGTCATAACTAGGTCATAACTCCTAATCAGTATTCCTTAACTTGTTTTATATTACTGACAAGTAAATTGACTGTTTTTATTGATCTTGGTTTGGGATGTTGTCCTATTTCTTGAGGAAAAATTAAGACAACATAAGAGATAAAAACCTATCAGGAGACATCATTAAATTTTAATTTGGAGACTGACTAAATTAATCAACCAGTTTTTGGAATGTAAACAGAGCATCAGTAAGTCTACAAAACAACTACCTTAAGAGAAGCTTGTTAGTTGATGCAAGGGTGTTAAACAGTCATCTTCCTATTTCTTTAAATATATATAGCCTTTAAAAATTGTTTCCAATTTTTTGGTGTTAAAGGCTTTTCCTAAACTAGAAAAACCTACTGCTGCTACTTTGGAGGAAGGATTTCAAAGGCATTATGCCTTTGTCATTGTCGGCTGAGCTTCCATAAACACAAGTAGAGACTGTTTTTATCCTGGAATCAATTAGCAAGGGCTCATTTGCTAAACCAATCTGTCTTTTTTAATGCAAATCAACACGCTACCTGCAAAAATATGTCCTGTTAAACTTCTGTAAATTGTTAATATTTATTAATAATTTTAAGAAGTTATATTCCAGAAATGTGTTGGTGACTTGGTTACCTGGAATTTGAAACATACTTTCCAATAAAAATGTTAAGATTTCTAGGCTGGTTCAAACAAGTTTACTTAACTTAGGAAAGAGCCAAAGTGAAGTAGCAACAGTATTTCAGCATCCAATCACTCTTCAGGATACGGATTAAATGGGAAAACCCATTCAAGATTTGACCCTGAGATCAGGAATCTATCTTCCCATTGTGAAAAAAACTAAATGACAAAAGACAGCCTTCTACACCACCTTTTCTCCCTTAGAGAGTCCAGCTATTTTACACACTCTAGCCAGAGGTGAACGAGTGCTTCAGTGGAAAGGTGTTTTTCAGGTTGAGTCCTATGCAGCTGGTGGAAGAGTGAACAGGGTCAAATGGCTGCAGTAGTTTGTGAGGCAGTGATTTAGAACTATTCCTACTGAATTTTATGGAAAATAAGGCAAGGTCTCTGACAGTGGGAGGAGTGAAAGTGCTTTCAAAGGCTCTCTTCTAGGGTTCAGCCGCTCACCGCGTTTGAGGGCATCAGTGACTTCCGCCTAGGGCCCAGCCAGGAGAGAGATGGTGTGCACCGCTTGCATCCTACTGTCCTTAATTATGGAAGTACCTCTATAAGGCTGTATGAATTATCTTCCGAAACCAGTTTGGGAATCAATATTGTTCCATGTGTTTCATGCTCACAGGAATGAGATAACTGGCATATAGTTTCTAAAATGTTTAGGACTTACCACCCATCTTGCTACTTGCTGATTTTCTAGTTGCTTCATTAATGAATAAAGCCTTAAGTCGGCTATAGCAGACAGAAGTGCCTGGGCAAGTCTAGGAATCCAAATCTTCATAGAAAAAAAATATTAAAAACATCCATTGGTTCACACTGAATCACCATAAGGTATAAAGACGCAAATCCAACTATGAATTGAAAGCCATTCTTAATTCAAAAGTAGATATACTGTATAATTGTTTTTCTGCAAAAACTGCTGTTTTTCTACAAAACTTACATTAATTTTTTTATGTTAATTCCCAAGGGAGTTTTACCATGCATTCATATATATATAACACAACACTACTAATGTTAACAAATAGCCAACAAACCATTTCATTGTGTTAAGGTTCTATTTTAGAAGCATACTTAGTTATTTTCATTAGCATAACAATAGATAATTTTAAATAAGATGTTTATAGTACTATGTGCTATGTGTTACATTAAGTATGTACATTATATATATAATATACATATACATAATATATATAATATACATACATAATATATATATATATATATCAGCTCATTCAGTCTTCCTAACAATCCCATGAAACAGGTACATTTTATAAATGAGAAAACTGAGGCACAGAGTGGTTAAATTTTCCCAAGGCTGTATAGTTAGTTAATGTGAAAGCCAGGGTTCAAACACAGGTCTCCCTGGCTCCAAAGCCTGTGTTTAATAGCTCCTCTTAGCTATTAAGTTACAACGCTTCCTCATCTTACAATATAGATAATAAAATAATATTTTTGACATTAAAAAGTAAATTTAAGGGAAAACTTAAGGCATTAAAAGATTATATGTGTATATATACAGAGGTAGGCAAAAGTAGGTTTATAGTTTTAAGTATGAGAAACACAAGAGTTTATTCTTTTTTTTTAAAGATTTTTATTTATTTATTTTTAGAGAGTGGGGGAGGGAGAAAGAGGGAAACATCAATGTGTGGATGCCTCTCGCGCACCCCCCGATCGGGGACCTGGTCTACAACCCAGGCATGCGCCCTGACTAGGAGTTGAACCAGCGACCCTTTGCTTGGCAGGCCGACACTCAATCCACTTAGGCAAAAGTTTATTCTTGTATTATTATTTATTATTGTATTATTTTCCATAGGAACAACTGCAAACCTACTTTTGCCCATCACTGTATAACTTACTAATTTCAATGCTATACATTAGCATCTCAAGAGTTTAAAATAGTGTCATAATTATCATTAATAAAATAATACTTTACTGTTGAGCATAATTTAATGTTGGTTTATTCATATATTTCTAAAAACATGTAAATCTGTATTTTTGTTGGCTTAAATCTTTATTAACTTTACATTATAATTAGAGCTGCTTAACTTTCAGTTGCTCGTGGCTTTTAACACTTTCGCTGTGTGTTTTCTTTTCATTAATCTGTAATTGTTTAAATCTTAAGAGTTATAAGTATTCTGTACTTCATAATTTCACTTAAACTGTGCCCTATAAAATGTAGTAAAGGGCACCTATTAAATATCTTTTGTTTACTCTGCATAGAAATCTATAAGAGCCATGCTTACCTCCCTGGACTGAAAGTGGTTTATTTGACGCTCAATCTGGCTACAAGTTTAGTATGAGCCAACGGTGTACGGCAGCCACTAAAAAACTAAAAGAATCCTCGTGCACTGAGAGAAGTACAGTATTTATGAGGTAAATGGTCCCACTATGCTATTCTGGGCTAGTTACCCTAACTTTCAATATTATGCTCAGTTTGGAGACCCACATTTTAAGAAGGGTATTAATTATAAGATGTTTAGAGGACATTATCCGATTATGAGGTTTAGAACTAAAGATATTCATCCTGGATAAATAAAAGTTTTTGAAAGGTTGTAATATAGAAATCTTAAATTTAAAAGAATATAGATTTTAGCACAACACAAAGGAGTTGTAAATTCTCAGTTATTAGCAGTCTCTCCAAACAGTTAAGGTAACATCATTTTCCAGGTTATACTAAGGACCTGACAAGAATTAAATAATAGTTTCATATGGTTTCTGGAAAACATAAGGTAGTGGCGTGGGGCAAAGAGAAGAAGGAACATGCCAGGGGTAAATCTAGAGGACCAGGCTTGGTTGGCAGCTTACCATTCTATAATCCTGTTCTTTAAGCTCCTGATTCCTCCCTTAAGTTCCAGGAGCCAAATGCTCTTGCACCATCTTCTGACTATTCAAAGCCCCATGGTGGTACCCCATCAGGTCTCCCTTCTTATCCCTCTTTCTTCTCACATGTTCTAAGCCAGCACTGTCTAGTAGGAATAGAATGTGAACCACATACGTAATCTAAAATTTTATAGTAGCCAAATTAAAGAGTAAAAAAAAAACACAAACAGGTAAAATGAATTTTAGTTGTTTTGTTTAACTCAATATATTTAAAATATGATCATTTGAACATTTTGATCAATATAAAAATTATAGAAATATTTTACATTATTTCATACTAGGTCTTTGACACCCAATATATATTTCACACTTATAGTACTTCTCATTTTGGACTAGTCACAAGTCTTTACAAACCACATGTGGCTAGTGACTACCGTATCAGACAGTGCAGCTCTAAGTCATCCCTCATTTTGTACACACACCTTATACAATTTGGAGAGAAGCGATCTGGAAAGACCTTGGATCTAGTTTTAGCTCTGCTTTTAACATGCTGTGATCTTTGTCTGTGTAAGTACTTCACTTCTCTGACCCCTTCTAGTTCAACATTATATGGTCTTTATTTAAAATAATATGATAGTACGAATGACTGATAGCATCCTAATTTTCTCTACGTGGAACGTGACCAGGTGCTTTTTTGGGCGTGGTGATGGTGTGGGGTAGGGATGGAGACCAGGGGAGGTTTCCTTTAAATCACAAAATGGCCAGGTGGGTCTGCCACAGGTTGAAGGCAGTGGGCAGATCTTGGAGGAATAGGAGGTTTTTCTATCTTGAAGACCCTTTCATTTATAATATAACCTACTTCCTGGGATATATATCGCTGGTGACATTATGTACATCTGCCCATGGTTCCAGACTAGATACCCTGCATGATCTACAAACTAGTGACTAGCCCTGAGAGGAGAGGAGAGAATTCACAGTTCCTAAGTTTTGCCTGTGTCCATAACAGAATCTCTGTTACTTCTCAGGATACTTCCATGAGAAGCATCTGTTTCACAGGTCTGATCCTTGTTTCTCAATAATGGAGAATCAAGTATCATTGAGAAGGGAAGGGTAAAATCCTACCTTAAAAAAAACAAAAACAACCCCCACTCTTCCCCAAAGAATCTCAATGTCTTTCAGTCTTCAAAAAACCCTCAGGATTTAGACTGCCTTTGGAATTCTGAGGTATTTCCCCAACAGAAAATAGGAAATGCCCAAAATTATGATTCCAACTTGATGATACCTTAAAGGAACCTAACAGTGAGCCCTCACTGGTATGGCTCAGTGGGTGAGCATCAGCTTGCAAACCTAAAGGTCATCAGTTCAATCCCTGTTCAGGGCACGTGCCTGCGTTCTGGGCCAGGTTCCCGGTTAGGGCACTTGCTAGAAGCAACTGATAAATGTTTCCCTCCGTTCCCCTCTTTCTAAAATAAATAAAATCTTAAAAGAAAAAAAAAAAAAGATCTTGACAGTGAGGTTAGAGAAACTTCTGCACTATTAGTTTTTCCTTCGTATCTTCTCCTGACAAATAACCCCAGAAATCCATGATTCATGAATTACAGCCCTATTTACTACTGATGCCTAATTATAGCATAGCACAATGATTATGCACATCATTAAATTTTTGTCAAATTCTTTCTAAGTTTTAATTTCAACACAATTCTCAGTGTGTTTATGTGTATTTAAGTCTTCATAAGCTCATATAACATGGTCTGCTGCTCACAAATTAGAAAAACAAGATACAACCTGTTTTCAAGTGATTCTCTATGAAGGAAATATACTTGTAAAGTCTAAATAATAATATATAATGTAGTCATTCTGAAAATCTTAACAGGATTGCTCCCAGCAGGACACTTTCATGCTCAGTCTTATGTTTTAGCACATATTAAAGGAGTTACATCATAGCCTGTCTTTGAAACCCTGTGCTTTCCAGATATATATATATGGTGAGAGTTTAGCAATAATAGCCTTTTAAAAACAAATTTCATGATACCAACAATACCATTTAGTTAATATACACTAACCTTTAAAAAAGGATGGAATAAATCCACTCTTAAGAATTATTTTGATTACTTTTATGTAAAACTTACCAGCAACTGAACACTATCTTTCCCCAAAAGATGCAAAATCTTGTAAATGCTTGCAAAGATTAAGGGGTAAGTATAACCTCTTAATCTTTCTGTCCATTCCCAGGTCAAATAACCATAATTAGTAATATTAAGGATTAATGTTAAATTGCATTGAAACAAAACCAACTTTCATTTTCATATATAAAACTATTTTATCTTTTGACACAGTAGCTCAAAAATACAGCATTTTATACTAGATATTTAAATTAAAAATGCAATTGGCCAACTAAACTCTTTAGCTTCTTCAAGGCAGGAATGTGTTTTTTTTACCTCATATATGCCCTCCACATTACTGAGCACTGTGGGAGTATATGCTAAAGGTTAAGTCAAGTACATTAACATCAAAGAAATATATAGAAGAAATATTAGCATAAAATATTGGTGTATTTTGATAAATTAAAATTATTTGGAGAAAATATGGAGGACTGATTGAAAAAGTGTAACGAGAAACTGACACAATTCCTAAAATGATACACATTCCTAACCTGGAAAAGAAACCACAAAGGATATTTGAAAACCATATGATGTGCAACTTCAAGAGACTGCCAGTACTCATCTGGAACAAAACTTGTCTGGACTAAAAAGCAGTTACATATTCGTAATGTTATGGTAAACAAGACCAGATAAATGTTTTCACCAAGAAGATCTGAAAAACAAAACAAATAAGGTAATTGTGACACAAGAGTCAGGCAAATTCTGCTTTCAGAACTAAGATCTGCTGCTCTGGTTGGCCCTTTGTTCAGGCCCTGTTAAGTCACATCAGTGAACTCTGCCCTCTCCAAAGTACTCTCAAAGCACGGACTCCCAGCTGGGTGATTTACCACTCCTTTC